TGAAATGTTGCAAGATGATCGAGAAAGCGTTAAAGACAAATTGTTGCTACAACTAGAGAGCTTGATAGATTTGATTAAATAAATACAGATTTTAAAAGTTACAACCAAATATTTGTAGACAGTAGTACAAATACAAGTTCAAAAGAAACTCATTCACTTATTTGAAAATTTGAATCAGAATGAAGATTGAAATTATTTAGAATTCCTACAAACAGCATCCATAGAAACGGCTCTTAATCCAAATAGTTTATGTTAAATTATAAGTCTTCATTTGTTAAAGAAATCTTGTGAATGAACATCAATTTGACAGAAAGGAACAGGCACTTGACTGCATTACAAATGTCGAGACTTAGTTTATAATACCTTATATAAGGGTATAAGCACACACGCATACTGCCATGTATGTATATAGGTTTATACAATATTAACAACTTAGTGAGCTGCAAAATTGAAGCCGTCGTCTCGCAGAAAACAACAACAAAACTGCACATTCACGAAGCGAATTTGAAATGCCAACACGTACGAAATACTGACATACATAGATGTGTAAAGTTCCGCTCAAAGAAATATGTATACACACGTATATATACTACATAAGTTTATATTAATGGATGTGTTTAAGCGAATGAATGCAAGCAGAGTTATGAAGCTAGTAGGTGATTTATTTTTTACGCTAATCAGAGACAATAACTTCATTTTTTAGAGGACTATACTGGAGCACTACGCAGATGATTCGCACGGAAAAAATTTAAAAGAGGTCTGGAAATGAAGAAATTGCAAATACATTCTTGACTAAAAACTGAACTAAATGAATACTTGAATTGTTGAATTATTAGTATCAATAGTTTAATTTATTCGAAGATTAATTTATTTGAAGGAATATTAGTTATTTAATTTAATGGAAATGAAGAAATTGCAAATAATTTCTTGACTTAAAACAGAAGTAAATGTAAACAGTAGAATTGTTGAATTATTAGTTTTTAATCAAAAGATTAATTTATTTGAAGGAATATTAGTTATTTAATTTTTCAATTTATTAATTTTCTACGTGCATGAAGTTGCAGGAGACAACACAGTCCAGAAACCCTATCAAACGTATAGTATGAGTTGCATGGCAGAAATATTCCAAAAATCGAGTAGAATCTTAAAGTCCGATACAATCAATGTTGTAACAATCATTCCTATGGCAGCTATATGATATACCGATGTAGTACGCTGATTTTGATGATTCAGATTTTAGAAAGGCAGACACTATAATAATTGAAATATATGTACCAAATGTGGTTTCGATTCGGAAATAGCAAAAATGTTTCAGCCTGATTGTTGAAGCGATCGTTCTTATGAAAGTTACACAGATTTTAAGGAAACTTAAGAATGAGACAGCAAATTTCCAAAGTTGAGTTTAAGCACAAAAAAAAGTGTACTAATCGTATTTTTCCCACCGATCGTTTTTATGGCAGCTATATAAAATAATAAGGCTATATTTGGTTTATCATAAACTTACGGCTCTACGGGCGGACTCATGTACATAGAGTCTGCCAAACCTCCCTCTGCCTGTAACATACACTCGGCATTTACTTGTAACTTTTTGTAGTACACTCTTCAGCTCTTCTAATGGGAATCACTCTGATTACACACTGAAAGCGATCTACAAGTAGAATCGAACTGAGTGAACTTAAAAGCTAAAACTCAAAACTGAATTTCTGTGTTTCTATTTATGTGGGTGGGAATGTTTGCATCTGTATTCGAAAGAGTCGTTCATGTGTGTTTGTGTGTGTGTGTGTGTGTGTGGGCAGATACGATTGTATCTTCAATGCGTTCGCTTTGCACTGTGTTGGGCTTAAAGGAAATCGCTGACACCGCCGCCAATTGCAACAGACGGCAACAAAATTTCAAAAATGATTGGCAACAATGCAGCAAAGCACAAAATGTCGGCAGCATTACCTATTGTTATACTACTAGTTGATGTTTTTTTCTTCTCTACTTTTTTTTTGTTTTGTTTTGTTGCTCGTTTTACATAACGGTATAAAAGCGGGCGCGCGCGCATAGACAGACAAAGAGGCAGACACAACGGCAGCTGCGCAATGCCAACTCTGTACACACAAACATATATGTATATGGAAAATGTATATACATATATGTATGTATGTAGATGCAAAACATGGCTAACTTCTGTTTTTGATGTGGTGTTGCTACTTTTTAGTTAACAAATGCTTATTGTTTTGTTTTGTTGTTGTTGTTCTTTTTTTTTTCTTTATTTACAAACACGCACACGCACACTCAGACGCACACGTTCACGTGAGCATCGCATTTCTCAAGTGCAAATCATTTTGACACATTTTTGCGGCTATTGGCGAAGGTCAAAACGCTTTGTAGTTGGCACTACAAAAAAAAATAAAATAGAAAAAAAAAACGCACACAGAAATGTATGCAAATATCATAAAAAGCCATGAATCTAAAAAGCAGAAAAACACACTCTTTAATACACAATTGCGCGCAGAAACGCTTGAGAAGATAATTAATAAAAGTAATATAAAAACAAGCCAAACAAAAACATATTTATGTACACTTCACTTTAAGAAGAGACGTCTAACGTCTAAGGACGCGCTAAAGGCCATTGTCATCAAGAATTCAAAACAGAAACGATCACAACAGCTGGAGTACTTTTCGAGTACCGCTCTCAAAGAACAATCAGATACTACATACATGCATACATAAGTATATAAATACATACATACATAGTATATACATACATAGGTAGATTAGTAGTTATTGCAATTTGTCCAATTATCGAATGGCGCAAAACTGCAATCGAGGCCAGTGCACCAAACGAAGATGTTGCATCTACTTGTAATTACAGCTCTGAAACGAAGAACTGAATTTGAGGAAAAGAACCACGACATCACAAAACGGTCAGCCACGAACACGTGCAAATTAGCGGGTCTTCAAAGGTAACTACTAGACGTGGTGTTCAAGTTTAGTGTCTTTTAATAAATGGAGACACTCCCAGTCGTGATGTCAACTACATTGGAAAAGTTAACTTCATTTTCCCACTCGAATGTACACATGTACACATGTATGTACATATATTAATAAGCACAACGACACCCACATTTCCGCGCATACACTGCACAAAACAAAAGCGACGCATTTTTTTTTTTTTTTTTTGCCAAGGATGGCCACTTTTATCAAAATGCCGACCACTTACTGAGTGTGCGTGCCCGTCTGTCTATCTGTCAGTTTCTGGCTTACTATATTTCTCTATTTTTGCATACACACATACTACACATGTTTAGCATTGTTTTATTTGCTGCTGTGTATAGTTTTTGTATATGTCAATGTGATTTAAATAAATAAACAAAAGCATGACCAAAACGTAGCCACCACAACCAGCATTCAATTTGAATAAAACGCACGCACGCGAGACGCACATAAACACATCTACACACACAGACACACACACATCTGCATACAAATATACTTGCATACATAACATTGACGCGTAGGTGTGTGTCTGACGCCTGCGTGGACGCGAACTGTGACAACATCCCTGTAGCTCGGGAGGTGTAATTTTTAATAGATCCCTGACCAACCTTGATTGATTGTCATTCCTAATTAAGCATACCCTGTCGCTCTTAGTGGGAGTGTTTCAATGGCGGCAAGCTTGTAATGTCTTTAATTGACCTTTCGGATCTGGGCGCTGATGTTTTTTCATTTACGCAGCATTTCCCAATCATTGGATGCGTGCTGCAGAAAGCCGGTTCATTGGTCTAGCATGTTCCACAGTTGCCACCCACCCGAGATTAGACCAGTTATGGCTGTTGAAAATTCTTATTTTATTATTTGTATTTTTTAATCTTAATTTGTCTCCTCTTTTCCAACTATATTGTTCTTATTTACTTCACCTTTCTAAATATTAAAATCATTGAGCTAATTAATTTTGTATACTGCCAACATTAAATAAATAAATAATAAAGATAAAGTACTAGAGTAATACCATGCCGTGGTGGGTCGTCTGAACTACAGGGGAAAGTGGTGGCAAGGTGGCACAGCTCTTGTGTGCAAAGTGGCAACGCACATGCATACATTTGTATGTAAGTATGTATGTATGTAGATACATTAATGATACGGCACGGGAGAGATGACAGCAAGTGAGAGCGAGAGAGTGACAAATGTGGGTGGTTGGCAAATTGGAAGACAAGGTTACAACAACAAGACAACAAAGCAGCTGATGCGGTAGGAACAGGACGAGCGAATGTTGTTGTTTTTGTTACTGCTGCTGGATAGGCGGTGTAACTGGAAAAGGGAGAGAGAATTGTCGTGTTGGGTTGCTCTTGTTGCGCTATTTTTGTTGTTGTTGTTGGTCCATTTAAGGGCGGCGGCGTATCACACGCATACACCACACATACACATGCATATGCATGTACATAGGAACTGCGAATGACTGATGATCTTGATGCGAAAGTATATGATAAAAAAAAAGAAAAACAGCAAGGCAAGCGTAAACTATTTTATTAATGCGCGCTAACAAGAAAGTATAAAATTTTTAATTTTTCGACTACCAGCAGCAATAAAAACACCGCAGATTTAAACACACATGCATACATACATATGTACACAATTTGCCAACCACAAGCATTTGCTGGATAGAAAGTTTGACTTTTGGATATGCTTCTTTTGTGGCTATTTGTTTTTTATTTTTTGTAAATACTCTGCAGAGGTGTACGTTTCATATTTGATATGGTTTGTATATTTTCAGTACTTTTTTTTACCAAGCCCCTTGTTTGTGGCCTTAACCCGCACCTTCCCACATCTCCAATAAGAATCCGATTCAGAGCATATACCCATACATACATACAATGAACAAATGTGTGTATGAAAATATATACATATAGTATGTGTACATTTGATAAGTGTCTTTAAACTTCGGTCTCCTTTGTAGCTAACGTTTTTTTTGTGTTGCTACTATAAATTAATGTTAAAGTTTCTTTACGACTCACCGTTTGGCTTTCGCGTTATTGTTGTTGTTATTGTGTTATTGCTGCTGTCTCTATTGTGGACCGCAAATAGAGCAACGAGCGTGCGGCGCGGCAACTTCTTTTGTGGCAGACAAAGCGACTGTTGTTTTTTCTATCTGAAGCCTTTGTTTTTGTTGTTGGCCACTACTGCAACTACGACGGCAACGGAGACGCAGCAGCAGTAGCAGCAGCTACAATAAAAAGCTCACGTTGACGGCGGCGTCGTTGGGTTCTTATTTTTTTCAATTAAAAATGCATTCAAATGCCATGAAATATTAAACGATTCATGCTATTTATGTGTGTATATGTTTGTTATTTCGCGATTAATATATTGGTTTTCGCTGAGGCAGCACTAAATTAACTTGAAATTTTGTTGATGAGACCGAACTTGTTTATTGTTGTAAACGTCACTGCTTCTCCTGCTACTCACTCACGCACGCACAAGCACACATACAAAAACAGACACATTCAACACAGGCGCACTGACTGCCGTTTTCTTGTTGGAGTGCGCTTGTTTGGTAACACAGACTACTGCACACACAGACACTCTAACAAAATACAATCGCTGATGTTTAAAAACTGCACTTGTCAATCAGAAAAAACACATTAAATCATATAGAGTTCTAAATGAATATTCATGAGACTTTCGCTATGCACAATCGAATTTGCAATTGTTTGTGAGCACGGACCATGAACAGTGACGGCCACTCAAACTCCAATTGACTTCACTTTTCGCACTGCGAGAAGACATAGTGATGCGAGCACGTACCGATTACCCGATTACCCGACTACGCCTCATCGATAATATCGATGCCGAAAACTGCTAATCAAACTGCTGCTCGATAATAGCGTTGCTACTACTTTATACTCGATTTCAATCGGTGCCATCGGACATTGACATTGACAGTTTGGCAGCAAGCTGGGCTGTATTTCTATATTGTAACTCATAATTCTGTATTTATATTTAAATTGTAACAAATTAAAGCTCTAAAGTCAAATCATGCCCGATACTGAGCAATTGCCCGAAGGCTGGGAAAAGCGCACAAGCCGCTCCACTGGTAAGGCGATGTAAAATTTTATATTTACCGGCAAGCTTGCAAAATTGCCGCAAAAAAATATTAAATAAAAATGCTTGACTTGCAAATTTATGCTGCAACGTTTTTCAGGTCTAAGCTATTACCTCAACATACACACCAAGGAATCGCAATGGGATCAGCCCACAGAGCCGGCAAAAAAAAGCGCCAGCGGCGGCTCCGGTTCAGCCGGCGAAGGACCAGATGAGGTACAATGTCTCCATCTACTAGTCAAACACAAGGGCAGTCGTCGCCCGAGCTCGTGGCGTGAGGAGAACATCACACGCACCAAGGAGGAGGCCCAGATGCTGCTTGAAGTCTACCGCAATAAGATTGTCAACAACCAAGCCACATTCGATGAATTGGCTCGTTCCTATTCCGATTGCAGTTCAGCCAAACGTGGCGGAGATTTGGGAAAATTTGGTCGCGGTGAGCAGCATTTATTCCCATTGTGCTTTGAACTCCCAACTTATTTGTTTTTTGACTCTCCCTTTCCGCTTTCGCAGGCCAAATGCAACCGCCTTTTGAGAAGGCGGCCTTTGCTTTGAATGTGGGCCAACTCTCCGAAATTGTGGATACCGACTCGGGACTACACATCATTTTGCGCAAGGCCTAATGCCCGCGAATAAAATTAATTCCATTTCTTGTTTCGTTCGTTAGTCAACAAATTCGCTATGAAGCAAACCAAATTACACATTTTCATTGTAATTATCAAAAAAACGCACGCATAAAATAAACTTTTTTCCAGTTATTATAAATAAGTGCATCACCAATATATTTATGTATGTATACTTACGTGCTATTAAAGGCAACCTCATTCATCTCAGTTGATTTAGCGATTGATGTTCGGCACAGGTAGACGAAATGTTGAACCAGAACTTGGGGTAATATTTGTTTCTTCCAAAGCTGGATGAAAAAGTCGACTCTTGCAAGCAATTAACGAATAAAACGTTTTAGGGATTTCAGGCAAAAAGCTAGTCCAATTGACACGATGGCAGATAAGCATTAACTGGATGTGATTCTCGAATTAAGTTTAAAAAAAGTTCCAGAGTTATGGGAAATCTCTTATATATACATATATACGTATAATGAAGGAGAGCATCAGAAAAAACTCAAACTTGCCCTTTCGCGGTCCTAGGAGAACGTGGATACAAGTTTGGTTATTCTAGCTCTTATAATTTGTGACATCCTTGCGTTCACATAGACAGACGGCTGGACACCGCTATATCGACTCCTCTTGCAATCCTGTTCAAGAATATATGCACTTTGTGGGATCTGCCACGCCTCCTTCTGTGTATTGCATACATTCGCACTAAACTAGTTAACCTTTTTATCCTTTAAGTATAAATTTGTTTTAAAATGCGTGTTTATATCTTTTTTATTCACTGCTTAAACTAACCACAAGTGTATCCTAAATTCCTGCGAGTAACTTTATTTCTTGACGAATCCCAATTTGCTGGCCAACAATTTGGCGCCTGGGGTTTTCTGATCGATCAATAGTTTACGCAGCTCCGCCACATCAATGACCGCTTTATAGCTCTTGAGCAGATCGGCACTGTCCTCAACCAGCTTGACGAGCACAAAGCAGCCGCGATTGACGCTGAGCCATTGCTTCAACTGTAAAGTGGGAAATGTTTAGAGCCCATTACTGGAGAAATGATTTGTGTATACTCACCACATCCGTGGACAATTGCTTGAGCAACTGTGCACCAAACGAGGCGGCACCATTTTCTCGTTTGCTATCATTCTTGATGATTTTTTTGAGCACATGATGCATGCCAGCATCCTCAATGCCCGCCACACTTGGCACCGTTGTTTGGTCCTTTTTCTCATCCTTCTTCTGTTGCTGCTCTTTTTTGGACTTTTTGGGAAGCTTTGCGGTCTCGTCCTCGTCCTGCTCGCTTTGCTCATCACTACTGTTGTCCTCGTCACTACTTTCCTCCGATTGCACGTTGAGCAATTTTTTGCGCTGTTTGGTGGCCTCGGCAATAACAGCCTCAACATCTTGTGGCTGCTTCTTTTTCTGCGCATCTCCGCCATCCGCAGGCAATGCTGATACACGCCAATCTGGATTTGCAACGACTTGAACTAACGCTCCAATGGCCCTCTCATAGTTCTCAGTCGTAACTGCAACAAGCAATGATGTTTTCAATTTTATAGCATTTAATATATGTTCATCACCACTCACTATAGTTCAGAATGTCCGCTGTGACAAGTCCAATGTGACTATTTGAGAGCCAGAAGGCAGCATCCTCCGCAATTGCATCGGCAATGGGCGCCTCGATCTGTTCAAAAATCTCCTTGCGGCGCGCCTCCTTATCTTTCTTTCCATACGCTAAGCCCTCCTCGATGGTCTTTATAAATCCGGGATGGAAACACGATGTATCGCCGGGCGCCACAAGCCATTGAATAACACGACGCCCATAAGGACTGGCCACCAGGGTTTTCAGATCTGCATGCAAATGATCGTAAATTGCCTTCTTGGTCGCCTTCGTATCATCCAGCGAGTTCAGCACAGCAATTAGGAACACATGGCCATGTTCGTGGGTGGCAATCTTAAGCAGATGCTCCTTGATGTTCTTGATGATGGCCTGAAGCGAAAGGAATAATTATTATGTTTTTGAGACTCTTAAAATATGAGGCGCTCACCCGTCGATTCTTAGGCGTTGACTTGTAGAAGCATATAATGGCCGCCTCGCTGCCATCCTTGGTGGAGAGCATATGCGGCACGAGAGCAGCAAATGCGGTGACAGTCTCCTCTAGCTTCTCCTCATCACAGGCGCGCACATATTCGAGCATGACGGCATGAACCAGCGAACTGTCCACCAGTTTCTTATTTGCCACGTGATCCAAATTGGCCTTCACAGCACCCATAATGGAGGCCTTTAGGTTGCTGGCCTCCTTGTATGTGTCCTCCAGCGTCTTTACGTTCGCATCCTTGGCCTTCTTGTACAGCTCGCCATAAAATTCTTGGCGCATGAAATTCCGTTGTTGGGGCGTGCTCACATTCAGGTACAAGCTGTCCAGTAGACTGCTGGCAATATTGTGTCCCGCCAGCCGGACTATGTTGCCCATAAGGCTGTCCACGAGCTTGCTTTTGGTGGCGGGTGCGCCATACTTAAGCATGCGCTTGACACAGAACTGGGCGTACTTGGACTGGCACATTTCGATGACGTGGGGCAGCAGTTTGTCAGACAGCTCGGCACGCAATGGGGGCGCCGCATATTTCAACATACATTGGAGCACGCGGGCTGTATCGTGAGCCTTTGCAATTTTTGAAATGGTATCACCAACATTCAATAATTTGTATATTTGTGCCACCAGTTGATCCTTCTTCTCTGTGCGACGACTGGGCAAAAACAAATTAATTAATTTTGTGTGATTATGTTGGATAACTCGTTGTAGACTTACCATCGAAGTTTCTCATAAATCTGCTTGGCCTCCTTCGTTATTTCATAGGTGTCGCGAGAGCTTTTGCGCTTTAGTTTTAGGTCCTTCTTTTCCTGCTTGAATTTGGCCCAATCCTTTTTTTCGCCTTCGCCGCCAGCTTGTTGCTGCTGCTGTTCCTTCTTGCCCTGATACGGTTTTCCATGGAATTTATTGTTGCCGCCTTGCTTTTGCTTAGTGCCGTCGAAACGCTTGACTGCACCATCTTTATAGGCTACTTTACCACCGCCGGCAGAAAATTTTTGAGCGTGCGGCTTGGACTTCTTGCCCTGCGGCACTTCCTTGGCAGTCATTGTTGGCAACTTTAGCTTCTCCAATAACTCAATTGAATTCCTTACCTCTACACGTGCTGTTGGAGCGATAACGATTGTAATAGCCAATCGAAAGCAAATAGTCGAACTCAACGGTGCGATTATTCCCCTTCTGTATGTATTTTGTAGTTGTCGATTTCACCACAAATATTTGCGTTGACACAAAACTGCCTAATTGATGGGGTAGTACAAAACATCGATGTTGTTCCCATCTGTTATCGATTGTATGCCGCGACAAAACATCGATATATACAATAAAAAACGAATTAAATTGTTATGCGTTTTTATAAATCACAATTTTTAGACATCATTCAAACGTAAACATTTAAGCAACATAGTAGAAACATAGGGAATTGAACAACCATTGCTTTTTATCTAGAGATTTGAGGAACAGAAGCTAGTCCAATAAGCCCGAAGCAATTAAATTTCTAGACTACCGGTCTCGAAAAGAAATCGCTCAGATGGCATGGCAGGTATTTTCGGGCTATCCCGTACAAACTTGGAAAAGACCCTCTAATTGTTTCCGAAATTTAGAATGGCCAGGCGATAATGCCATGCAGAAAATACCTCGTCGAATGTATCAGTCGGAGTTTGGTGCAATTATTTACCAAATTTAATATAAATATATTCGGGTATACATTAATTAACTCCAGTTATATCTCTTTGAGAGACTGGCAGAGATATCTTGCCATTTAATCAGAACAAAATCTAATTGAGCTCATTTAACAATATTATCATATCATGTAATAATCCAACAGCATAATAATCTATAATTATGGGAAAGAAAGCGACGTTTTTATGGAGAGGGAGAAAAACATTTGGGTGGTCTTTGGTAAGCCCACATTTGTTTTTGGAAACAATTAGCAATACATTCGTGCCCATCGCAGAGAACCATCGAAACCATCGGTGGTATCGATATTTGCACCGATAGTTCGACACCTCTGTATAGTACAGTCGCTCTTCTTGGCCACTTTCTATGTTCCTTACGATTTCGCGGCAAAACAAAACGGCAAGGGCAAACAATTTGTTTTCATACGCTTGTTAATTCTTACTTTGTTTACATTTGGTGCAAAGTGCTTTGACCTCGGCGTGTTGTTTTTGTTTTCCTTCCGAAGCTGCGCAGTCCGTGCTGAAAAAAATGTCAAAACTTGGCAAGAGAAAAATAGTTGCTGCCGAACTGGCCGATGCGGACAGCGAGGCAAAGCAAAAGAATGGTAATTCCAAGGCGGGATCAAACGCGAACGACGATGAAAACTCCCAGGACAAGAACGATACGGCTTCATTGGTTAGCGAGAATTCATCACAAAGGCTTGGCGGCGGCAAAAGGCGAAAGGCCTCCAATAAGGCGGCAGCAAATTTTGCAGTTGAAGCCAGCGAGTCAGAAGATAGCGAAGAACCGCCATTGAATGGCAGCAAAAATGCCTCCTCCAGTAGCAGCACAGCTGCTAAGAAGCCACGCAAAGGCGGCAAATCGAAGGGTAAAGCGGCTGGCAAAAGCGCCAACAATAAAAAGTCAAAATCCGTAGAGAGTGATGATGAGAAAGAGGACGAAGAGGATGATGGTATCGACGACAATGAAATCGAGTATGAGGTGCGTTTATTTAATCATAATTAATTTTCCGACAATCGCTGACACTTGGTCTATAGGTCGAGGCCATTGTGGGTCACAAGATCATCCGCAACGCCTTACACTTTTGTGTCCGCTGGAAAGGTTACACTCAGGATGAGGACACCTGGGAGCTTGAAAGCGACTTGAACTGCGATGCGCTCATTGCCGAATATCGCAAGAAGGTGAGTCTCACTGTCTCACTCTCTTTGCAGAGCAGCTCTATAATTTGCCTGCTCACACCCACACACAACCAACCACACACACACTAAACAAAAACCTATTTAGGTGGACATCAATGATAGCCCAAGCAAACCGAAAGGTAAAAAGGGTGCCGGTGGAAAGTCACCGAGCAGCGCTGGGCGTGGTCGTCCCTCCGGCCAAAAACAATCAAAGCCCAATGCTGATTCCAGCGATCCGGACAAGGAATGGGCCGTGGAGCGCATCGTGTCGTGCGTCGAGGATGATGAGCATGGTATTCTCTATCGCATACGCTGGAAGGGATTCGGCGCTAAGGACGATACCTGGGAGCCAGAGTCAAATCTGTCGTGCCACAGTCTAATCGAAAAGTTCAAAAAAGGACTTGAGTTGGAGGTTAATGTCGATGCGAAGCATTTGCGAGAGTCCCCGAAAAAAACTAAGCGACTGGTCAATGAGACCACACCACGTTCCAATTTGCACAATCGCATTGGACGCTCTTCCAAGCGCTCAGCCGCTAAAAATCGGTAAGAGCTCTATTTATATACAATATGCTGATTGATTGTCCACCTAAAATTGGCCATGCAATATATCTTTCTTTTATATACATAGATATCAAGATTGTGTTCCATAAATATTTTCATGACATGAGCCACGCCATTATTCCCCCAATCAGTAACATTCCTAAAACGGTATAAACTATTAATGGTTGGTGTTAAGTTTTATATTCAATTCTTATTCAATATTCGCCTTCCATGATTTGTGATTTAAATGTAAGTGCGGATGAGTTGACCCTTAGAAATCGTTTTTTTGCAGAGAGGACAGTTTTGGTACAATGCAGGATGCATTGCAGAATACGTGTTCACACTGAGTTGATTCCGGTTCACTCAGCCTGGCTGCCTGCCTGCAAGTATCATTCATAGCAAGTGTTGGTGCTGTTTAGCCGAGTTTTCTGCAGCCCCTCGGATGCAGCCGCTAGCATCCGCCGATGTGACACGCCGATAGGCCCTTAAATCAATGGCATAGTGGCTTGCACTGATATCATTCAGACTAGTATATGCCCATCGAAGTACCTCGGATGTTCTTCCTAACAACTGTATGATCGAAGCTGTGTCAAACGCCATGGTATACTTGTATGCTGTTGAAGAATCTGGCGTATCTCGATTTGCCAAAAAATAAGTCGAAGTATTTCCAATGGCTGAGGTTGATGCTTCAACGCCACTTGATACATTGTTCTGCGCGTTTTGGGTCACTTCCTCGGCCTGTTCGTCGGCTTCAGTGCTCAATGGATCCACTAGTGGCGGCTTTTTTAAATGAAATTACCACAAATAAGCTTGCCAGGCACTTTTTATATACAACTTTAAAATAAGGCCCCGGGTCCGGCCTTATATATATTATATATTTTTGGTGGCCATTGAATCTTGTTAGAGACTTTTGTTCCAACTCGACTGATTTACGTTTCAGTTCGAATGATTTTTTAAGAAATAGAAAGTTTAGGTGCGATTTATTTTTTTAAATGTACAATGCCAATTTTGAGTGGAATAGCATCATTATTATAGGAAAGAGAGAAAATATTGCATGCCAAATAAACGATCAATGCACATGATCTAATACCCTCTGTCTCCCTCTTTTCTATTTGCAGCGTATTTTATGGAGAGGAGTGAAAAATCACGGATACATCAAAAATAACTGCAGAGATGAGGAATTGGCGTTTCCCCCTCCCCTTCCCCAATCCAATAAAGTAGTCTACGATTATTTATCGTAAATTCAACTGTTTAGGCAATAGTCTATCTGCAGGTCTGTGGCTGGCGAACGTCCGCCACCACCGATGCTTTAGCTTTAAGTCCAATGTGTATTAGACCCCATACTCACTTATATACACAAACATAGTAGATCTTAAGTCCAAATTTGTTTATTTAATTCTTGTACTCTTAGAACCGTCACAAAAAATAACTTGATTTTGTCGCGTCTGTCTCCCCTGTAGCTTTTAGTTTAAGTCTGGTCTACGAGCCAATCTGATTTTCGAAATAGAGCCCTACACTTAAGACCGATCTGGAAAATCGGCTTTACTATGGAGCTCGAAATTATGTGTATGTAGAGCTCCTCCCCACAAACATTTGGCACCACTTACCCTAGTGTCGATTATATTCATTGTGTATGAATATGGAAAAGTATATATATTAAAAAAAATATAAATATAAACAATAAAATACTGCATGTGCATTTTATATATTCATGTATAATTATCATTTACACCCGAAAACACACATTACCATTTTAGAACTGAAAACTGGAATGCTTAAAACAAAGGAAGTCCCCTTTTCTTTTAGCTTGAAAGGGCCTACTTGATTTCATGTTTTCCCAGTCAAATCAGAAATAGTATATCCAATAAACAGTTGCACTCTATTGAAGATTTATGGGTTTTCTTCCCATTTGCAATAAATTTGTTTGTTTTCTAAATGGAACTAGATTATAGATTCTCTTTCCATTTCCACTTATTTGGTTTATTTTCTAAATAGAAGTAGGTTTTGAGGGAGCCTGTTCCCTCAAGACTTAAGGGAAGTTATTTGTCTTTTCAAAGTTTTGAGTTCTATGCTTACCTTTTCTTTAATCCTAATTATGTAGCAGTCCGAACCGGATGTTGTGCTTGCCCTTTTGAAGTATATATCCACAACTATTTGGATTTTTCATATCTTTTCAATACGAATTTACAATTGCAGTGACTTCGTAACATAAATGAAGGATGAAGGCATTTCACTGATTTGATTAAGCGGAAGGTAATGTCTTCATTGTAGAGTCTTAGCAATTCCATTCTTAATTTCGATCGAAATGTGTTTTATTCAGTTTAACATCCAGACAATCTATAAAAAGTTGTATGGATAAATATTGAGTTCAATATGCACAGCTCCAATATTCAAGTTATTAAGTTGTGACGAATGCGAATTTAAATAACCATTACATCCAGACTGTTCACAGCCAGGCATACGAGTATAGAATTCGCAACATTTCACTTTGCATTAATTTTTCATTACTGGCCAGCGATGGAAACTGCTTTAATTAAAAGCTACAATTCATAGCTTTCTTTGACTTGCTTAAGGTTTATTCCCATATCATCTTTCGTTTGGTAATCAGTTTTCTTCAAACAAGAAAATAATGAAGGTTAATTAACTATGCGAATGCTTAGAGACCCGCTTGCAGACCAAAGCCCGGACCCTTGGGCTCTTCGGACAATGAGGTTGGTTTGCCTTTTGGTTCGCTAGCAAAGCGTCCGTTGCGTGGGCCTGGTGGCGATACCTTGTCGGCCCTCAGATCGGCTAAAATTTCCTTCATGTCCTTGGCCGTTAGATCCTCCTAAAAAGATGGTTAAGTTAGGTGAGCCTCTCTAAATAGTTAATTGCTGCTTACATAGTAATCATCGTTGACCGCCACCATGGGAGCATTGACGCAAGCGCCCAAGCACTCCACCTCTGAAATAGTGAATTTTTTGTCCTTGGTGGTATCGCCGACACCAATGCCAAGCTGCTGCTTGCAGGTCTCCAGGATCTCGTCGGAGCCGCGCAGCCAACAGGGTGTTGTGGTGCAGACCTGTATATGATACTTGCCGGTCGGCTTGCGCATGAACATTGTGTAGAAGGTGGCCACCTCGTAGACGCGCATATTGGGCAATTCCAAAATCTCGGCCACCTTGTGCATGGCTGATATGGGAAGCCAGCCGTACTGGCGCTGCGCCAAATCAAGAAGCGGAATCATTGCGCCTCGCTTGTGACCCTCCGGATATATGCTTAGAATGGCTTCAACGCGCTGCAATATCAAAATGTATTAACAATATGTACATACATACATATGTATAATTGTCTGCCAAGGGACTTGCATTCACCTTTTTATTTTCTGGTGTGAATTCGAAGGGTATATTGGGATTATCTTCGGGAGTATCCCGATGCACGAACAAATTGTCGCTGGTTCTTGCACCACTGGTGGCGATGGCGCGCAAGCCACCGCGCTAAAAGTAAGCAAAATATATCGTTTTAACAGCGAATACAAGAATTGTTATTGTTGGTAAAATGACAAATTACATAATGTGCTTCTACAATTTGGTCATTTTAGCGATATAGCGCAATGATTTGACTTACCACGGCAGCCAGCGTTTTATTGGCGCAACTGGTAAGCATTTTGCGTGCTAGAAATTAAAAAATTAACTAAACGAATGTTTTGTTTCTTTTTTTATAAACGGTCTCGGCTGGCCGCGGTCCTATAGTTGCTATTTCTCTCCATCCACCACGCAAAGGCAACGATTAAAAACATCTGTTTTTTTGCTTTCGACTCACCTATCTGGCAACACCAACACAGTAGTGAAAAGAAACGGACTGTTCAACACTACACTTTGCTGTGGCGTCTGCCGTTAGAAATTATTTAGCGGCATTGAGGATTCATTCGGGATATACATGAATATCAATATTTATATAAAAAAGAAAGTGATTAAAATGGAAAACGCCTACTTCGGACATGTCCAAAAATATATCGATGGCTTGTGTGCATCCGACGGACGTTTAAAACAAGTCATCGCTGATTTTGAGTTTGAGCTCAAAAGGAACGAGGAGCTGCGTGAAACTAATGCGCGTGGGTATTCCTCAATTTTATTTTTTGTGTATCACTTAATTTTTCCAATTTCACTCCCGCATTTAGGCTTAAACAAAGATGTGGAAAAACTGCGCTTTGAAGTAATGTTAATTAAACAGGCAAGCGCAGGGCTTACAAATCAGGCCACCGGGCAAGCCCATTGCGAAAAAGCACTACATTCGATGTATGGAAATGTACTTGAGTTGGGGCATCTCTTAAGTCACGATAAATTCAAGAATGTGGTGCGTTTTGAGATGATGACCCTAGAAAAAGATGTAGAAGAAAAGATGGAACTTTATGACGAAATGCAGCAGGCCGAGGACAAGCGCAATGTCGAATTGGAAAATCGTCAAATTGGTATGTAAATATCATATTACGTGTCCAAATTATATATAAATTCTCTGGCGTTTGTTGCGTTTACAGTGCAGGAGGTGCGCAAGGCCCAGCGTGATTTGCAAGAGGCCTTAAATGAGCACGAGCGCCTCGAGCTACAGCTCGATCAGCAAAAGTACATATGGGAACTCAAGATAGAGCGTGCCACAGAGCGGCGTAACGAACGGATTGTGTCCTTGGTAGCGCTCTCCAAGGAAATTAAAGAGTTGCGAGAACAGGTGAGCAGAAGTTCTCGATACAGGCATTTGTTTAATCACAGAAACGTTAACTAAATAAAAATAAAAGACCTAATAGACGAGAACACTTGTAGAAGGTGAAAAGTTTATTTTCACCAATTTTATATTAATTCACGAAAAAAGAGAGATCTGTTGAGAAAGATCATTATAATCTAAAAAAAAAATTATTTTATTAGAAACTTCCATTAATGTTTACCAACGTTTTATAAATTAGAGTACAGCCAAAGTCCTTTATACGATAGATGATATGTTTAGGGTGAAGCTCAGTTTTGAATATAAAAAAATGATCCAAAGGTTGTATTGACACATTGTCAATTATATAAGTCAATTATAAACCCTATTTAGGCTTTAAAAAACTTGAATAAAACATATAACAAATATTTATTTATTTACTTCGTATGTTCCATCTGAAACAGCTAAACTCTTCGTCGGTGCGAGAGACAGAGCCAATTGTTGAGATGGACCCGCCACGTCCTTACAAACCCGTCGAGCTGCTATCTGCAATGGATTTTTTACAGAAATATACAGAGAAGCAACTTGCTGGAACCTCGGAATCAAGTACTACAGAAAAAAATAACAAAGAGGACAAGGACAAAAGTCGCATAACTAAGAACGTACATTTCGACCCCAATCCAGTAATTGTGCACATCCCTAACAACGAAATGGAAACAGGAACCGAAATGGAAACAGAAACTGAAACAGGAAGCGAAACAGAAAATGAAACAGGAAGCGAAACAGAAAAAGAAACCGGTTCTAGCTTGGATGAGGAGCAACCGATCAGTATCAACAACAACAACAATGTCAATAACAACTCCAACACAAACAACAACAGCAACAAGAAATCACTGGTGAATGTGCTGTCCGAGAAACCCGAAATCCAGAGTGTGGAAATACTTCCAGATCCCTCCCTGTTCCCTTTTCCAACTGCTAACCAGACAAACTTAAGTCGATATGCGCCCCTCATGCGTTTGCGAGAAGTGGCAGACTTTGAATGCGAAAACCAGGATAGGAACAATCAGAAAGATCCACAACCAAGTGGTCCACCAAAAAATATAACTCCCAATATGGACCTTGAGTGCACCAAAGATAATAAAAACACTCGAAAATGTGTACCACCAAGTGTCCCACCAAAAGATAAATTCCTGAATATGGATCGGAAAGTTCCACCACCAAATGCACCACCAAAAAATAAAACCGTGAATATGAGCTTTGAGTGCAACAAAGAGAATAAGAACGCTGAAAAATGTGTGCCACCAAGTGTCCCACCAAAAGATAAATCCCTGAATATGGATCGGAAAGTTTCACCACCAACCGCTTTACCAAAAAAAAACCCCCTTAATAGCAAAGAGAATAAGAAAGCTCGAAAATGTGTACCACCAAGTGTTCCACCAAAAGATAAACCCCTTAATATGGACTTTACGTGCAACAAAGAGAATAAAAACACTCAGAAATCTGTGCCACCAAGTGTTCCACCAAATGATAAATCCCAGAATATGGATATGGACACTGAATGTAAAAACCAGAACAAAAACAATTGGAAAGTTCCAGAACCAACTGCTTCACCAATAGATCAAATCCTGCATATGAGTATGGAAATGAGCAGTGATTGTGGCGATAACTTCTCAGAAACGATGCAAATGGGACAGCCTACTCTTGATTTCTTCCTTAATTTCAGCGACGACAATGATGACCAAAGCCAAAACAATTCGTACTTTCTGTAAATCCATTGGGAATCTCTTATTATTTATAGTACGACGATGATATGAAACAATTATGTTTTATTTAGTTTGTATTCATAATTTAAGCTTTTAAACATTTTCAAACTAAATATGTATTTCTTATAAGAAGTAACTATTTTCAAAGAACCATCTGAAAAACAAAAGTATTTTATTCCATTTTTATTTATATTCACTTATCCGAGCCTTTAAATATTTTCGAAAAAAACCAAAAATGTATTTTAAATATGTCCAAACAGAATTTAAAAAGAATAGTCTACATTTCTTTCTAATACGACAATGATAAAGGAGTGTTCATTTGATTAGGCAAAAACTATCTAATAAAACAAATGTATTTTAATTCTTTGTTATTATTTATTATTATTTAAAAAAAAAAAAACCCAAAAATGATATTCAAAAATGTCCAAACAAAATTTTATAAGAATAATTTCTATTTATGTATATCTACATACTGCTTTTTATTTAATTTGTATTCTTAACATTTAAAATGTTCATATTATAAGGTACATGAAGACACTTTTTCAGTTCTTTATATTTCAATCTCTAATAAAACAAGTGTATATCCATTCTTTTTTAAATCTGTTCGTTTTAGTGAATATGCCTTTGAATACTTTCAAGATGTTCAAGCAGAAATTCTTTTAGATTGTCATATGAAAAAGTAAAATTGTTAGGCTTTGATTGATCCGGTTTTTTTTTTTTTGGAATTCCTCAGAGTGTATAGATAAGTATGAATAATATAGTTTTATGTTAATTCATTATATCCTTTTATTACACCTATTGTTTTCCATTTTCCACAATCTTTAACAATAAATATTATAAAATGATTGTGAAGTGGTTTTAAGTTATTGATAGCGTGACCTAAAGCTCTTTGAATGTCAAGGATTAGTTTAGAAAAGAATACAATTTGTATACGATTACATAAATTTACTACATTTTAGTTAAATACTTATACAAATTATATAGAGTCAACAATTTCTTAGTTTCAGACCATAGTCAAAAAAATGAGTATATTTGTTTATTATTGGACATAGGAGAATCGGGATCCTTGCGTTTATACAGACGGACGGACATGGACCCTTCTACCCCATGGGTCAGAGTATACAAATATTTACCCCTAAACAACGGCAAGCTGCCATTGTTAACATCTGCTTTAGCTGTTTCATCTATCTTGCAACGCCAGCCAGTATTCTGCAAAAACACATTTATCAACACTGGATTCATAATGGCGTCTGCCGTTATTAATCAGACGTCTTGAGCTGATTTGCACGTTTTCTGTTTGATACATACGTACATATTTAGAATAACGAAGGTGCAAAAATGGAAAATACATATTTTCGGAATTTCCTCAAGTGTATACGCGCATCCGATAAAGGCTTCAAACGCACCATCGCCGATGTGATCAAGAGCGAACTCGATAAACAGGACGAACTGCGTGCTACCGAAGCGCGTGGGTATTCAAATTCGCGACATTTAATAAGTTTTTTCCTTAATTTGCATTCACATTTTCATGTTCAGGTTTAACTGCAGAGCTCAATAGCTTGTGGGCCAACCACATATTGATTCGACAGGCACACACAAGGCTATTGGAACATAGGATCGATCAGGTGATCGGGGCCCGTGACAATGTTGCGAAGGTACTTGAGTTGGAAAATCTTTTAAATCATGACACATTTAAAAAAGTCTACAATTTCGTGGCCAAGCAGAATGAGGTAGACTTACGAGATAATGCACACCGAAATGCCGTATTGGAAGAGGGGCAAATTGGTGAGTGATTGGTTGTTATGTATAGCCTTGTAAATATGTGTGTATCGCTTACAGACCAAAGTCTGTGCAAGTTGCAACGTGAACAGCAGAAGTTCTTGATGCTGGATCAGGAGAAGCATTTCAGGGAGCAAAGCACAACCACGAGTGTTAATTTAAACAATATGGATGAGCATGTTCCGGAGTTGCGCATGAAGGTGAGAAAATCTATAAGCAGAAGAAAGATACTTATGTATATAATTTTCGTTATTTATTACAGTCACCCGAGCTGCTGGATGAAAAATCTGTAAAATTTATAGGCGAAGGCCTCTCTGCAAAGAACATCTTGGTTAACGATCTAGTTGATGGAAAACCTAGAGTCTCAGAATCAAACGATTCCAAGTTTGTTGTCGTTGATAACAAACATACCAAAGAGCTAAATAAAGGCATTAGTCAGGCCCATTTGCACTTCAAAGAAGCCTTAGAGGCCGCCTCAAAAGACAACATGACATCTCAAACAGACACCGCTTCCAGCAAGGATAAAGATCAACAGATCACCTTCAACAACAACATATATCCACAGTCAGTTGGAATCCAGAGTGCGAAAATACTTTCGTCATTGTTGTTTTTTGATCGGAACCATTATTTGAAAGTTGTGGAGCCTAAAGCTGATCCAAAGTTAAATGGATTGGACAATTTAATGAACTTCAAGAGAATGCTTTCGCCAGACCTTGAGTCTAGCAATTTACCAGTAGGAGTTTCATCACAAGATAGGGCTATAAATAGAATTTCTTTCAGTGATTGTAGCGAAGTGAAGTCGCCAGCCAATGACGTCTTCAAGCCCGTCGATGAAAATGTTGACGAAAACGAAAAGCCATTCTAAACATTTACTTTTTTCTAATAGTACCATTATAGCATGTATAATGGTGTTGCTTTGCCTGATGAATAAGAGAAATGGAATATTTATTTTTTTTTTTTAATTCTCGTATGAATTCTGGTATGAATAGCCTTTTTTTTAAATTCTCATATGCTCTATTCCTATTTCCTATTCTATTTTAAAATAACCTTGCTCACTGTAGCTTTTAGCTTTCGAATTACAGATTTTAATTTTACAATATTTATAAAGGCCCTAATGAGATTGAATGAGTAAATAAATAATATTAATGTGCCTTAAAGGAATAAGATGCATTAATTGAAGTTTAAAATGCATAAAACAGTTTGTCTTGACTGGTGCGTGGTCCAAACGGTAAGTATATCTTAAATATTCTTTCACAATATAAGTAGGAGCACTAAGAAGCGGTTTTGCTAAATTCCAACTCCAAAGGGGAGAAAACGGGTTCCAAAGTTTGTTTGAAATATATGTATTTTTATTCAGATTAACTTAAAGTTAACTTGTGCACAATAATTATAATTAACGTTTGTAAAGCAACCATACAAACTTTGTAAAATACGGACGGATATTTGTAAAGTTCAATCAAGTTGAGAGTTGACTGAATATTTTTATTTTATTTTTATATTATTCATTTGATTCCATTTAACAACCAAGAATACTCCAGTGTATTGAAGTTTTACCTATAATGCTATCGTGCGGACTATTATCAGTTTGTATTATTATTATACAGGATTTTACTTGTTGATTTAAAAAAACAAATGGTGAAAATGTATTTCGAGTTATGAGTTACCACCTATCTGTTTCGTATCTAAATCACGCACTCAAACGTATCGATGGCGCCTTGCAGCGACCAGCTGTCATCAACAGAGCTATTCTCTTTTGTTATAGACTGGCAACGCTGTGCGCATGTGTCATTCTCCCTTTTGTTTTTTATTTCTTCACACAATACTCTTGCGCTCGTAAGTGGCCGTCGTGTGAGTACGCGGATCGAAGCACAGAACTGTGGCGAATTTGTTTATTAATTTGCAGCAGAGAGCTGACAAAAAAAACATGAAGTGTTAAATGTTTTAGAATAAAATGAAACGCTGTAGTGCGCGTAACTGAGACGGTTTAGGCAAAATTTCAAGTAAAAAATAGTGTGAAAATTGGCAAAACAAGAACGCGTTGGTTGGTGGTCGGTCAACCAACGACAGTTTGTTGAGCAGTAGCAGGCGTGTTTTTTCAGTTTTTTTTTTTTTTGGTTTTTTTATTGATTAAATTTTAAGTGAACACACACACTCACATACAAACGCGCAATTTTTTAGTGGCGCGCAAACACACACATACATACACCATACGAAACAACAAAAGCATTCTCTGGCCGACACAAAGGAGTTGAGCAATAACAGCAGCAACAACAACAACACCATCAAATTGCATGGACTAAATTGTAGGCTTAAATGAATAAAGTAGTACAAATCGTGTGAAACAAAGTCACAAAGTCACACACACACACGCACACACACTCTAATCAGTCGCACACAAAGCAATAGCAAGCGGAAAAAAAGTGTAACACACGCGTAACAAACGCGGAAACTGCAAAATAGCTTCTGAAGGTTCTAGTGCCAGTGTGTGTGTTGCCTTTTTTCTGCAGCTCGTGCATAAGTTAAGCGGTTGTAGGCTGTAACAAGTACAGACAACCAGACAACTGCAATAGCACCAGCGACGAGAAGAGCAGCCGCAGTAATTGCCCGTCATTCAATCAAACAGAGTCGTGCTATGTCTTGTAAGGTGGACCGGAGCAAAGGCTCAGCGCTTATCAGCGGCGCTGACGGCGGCGTCGGCGGCACGAACGGAGGTGAGCTAACAACAGACAAGGTGGACGTCGACGGGGTGCTTTTGTTTGCCCTAGTGTTATCAGATTGTATGTCGGCTATGCTAATTGATCTGCATTAGCGATGGGAGGGATGACGTGCCACGATAATCAACTGTCTGCACGACCAGAATAAATGTCAGGCCAATGTTCACTTTGCTTATAATCAGCTGTTTTGTCGGCTACGCTAATTGATCCCCATTCAAGATGGGCGGGATGACGTGTCTCGGCAGTCAGCTATTTCTGCTCGACCAACAAAAATTTAAAAAAGCAACGGCAACTGGAATTTATTTTGTTACGCTGATTGATCTATGTATATGAGAAAGGGGAGGACTGACGTTTTATGGCAATCAATCGTCTAAGGGTATTCCAAGAACTGTTTCGCTTGGAATTTTTTCGTTATTTATCAGCTGTTGATCAGCGGCTACTAACAAAGAACTTCCATATACTATGTGTTTATATTGATATCGTGGGTAAAACACATATATACGAGTACATATTTAAACATGTTGCCATAGACTTTGAAAAACACTATTCTACTCTTTCCTTCTGAACGATATAATCCAACGTATTTGGAGTTGGTTATATTTTAAAGTACAAATGCATTTCAACTATATTTTTAATTTTAAATTAATTTAAATGTAACTCAATCATCGGGGCTTTATCTTGAATATAATAGCTGTCGCCATATCTACTTATTTATGTCGATAATAGAGAATATGTTCTAAAATATATCTCTAAATATTTTAAAGCCTACACAAATAAAAAGTATTTCCATAGATTGATTTAAGCATGAACGAATGAATTTTTTAATGAAGATAGTAATACCAATCTATTGAAATTAATTTCTTTTATTAAATAATACTGCCGAATATACTTATGTATAAAATGCATATAATAGTTATACAAAAATGAATGGGAAATTCAGACATCAAGGTTAGTGGTGCTTAGATGATATCGTGCGTGAAAAAATTTGGCATGTGTTCTCCACCCCAAATTGTCGGCAATGCGGATTGCGATTGTATTGAATATGTCTTCATTTAATCCAATTTAATTTCAGTGGTTGATAAGACTATAGTGGAGGACGATATATTTCGTAAAGTGTCTGCCATGAATGGCACAAATAAACCACCGAAATTGTCGCAGCAGTTACGGCTGCAACAACAACAACAGAACCAGGAGAACCAGCAACAGACACAGCAGCTTCAGCAGCAGCAGCAACAACAGCAACAGCAGCAGCAACAACAGCAACCAGCAACGCCACAGAAACAGGCTATGTCAGCGGATGAGCGCAAAGCCACAAAGAAATCTCTAGTCATTGTTGCCGCAATATTTGTGACCAGTCTGATCACAATGTGCTATGTCTATGCAATATTTCCCGAATTGAATGAGTAAGTGAAGATCGAAGATCAATTTCAATTATCAAATGTCAATTGTCAAGTACACTCGACCACTTGATTGAGTGGGTGGGCGTTGTGTTGAAAAGGCCATTCCTTATTGCTGTTTAAAATTAAATTTAAGCTAACAATATGAGTTTCCGTATTTTCCGCAGTTTTGTTGGCATGAACAGCTGATCGACAAAATGAATTCTTAAACAGCAATCAGGAATGCCCTTAATGAGAGAGTTGTATGTAGAGAGAGAGAGAGAGAGCTAGTAAGAGAGGGGGGAGTGTTCGTTGGTATCTTTGCATTTAAATATCGAGACCAGACAAAAGTATAATGCAGATTAAAACAATAAGGAAAATAACTGTTGCAATTATTACGCTGATGTGTCCCAAGCGCATTTGCTTTTATTTTGCTCTTCTGTGCTGTGCCTGTGTGTGTGTGTTTCGAAGCTTTATTAGCAAGGGTTACACACGCACACACACACATTCATGGCTGTCGAGTCACGCCACTCGGCGCTAACAATACCAGCGCTAATTTAAGCTCGTCATAAATACACAGACACACACAAACTCAAAGAACTCATTTACACCTGTATAAAAAAAACGAACTGCAAAACACGTAACGTATTTGGACATACATCTGTATGTCTGTACATACATACATACATATATTTTAAATAAAAAACGTTGCTTCAAATAACTCGCTTACGCGAGCGAGAGAAACAGATCCATTCTCGCTATTTCATTTCAATTGCGCTTACAGTAGAGATGAGCGTGGGCCGTGCAGTATCCCAGCGTGACGTTGATTTAAAAATATTTTAAAAGGGCACGAATGAGAAAACACGAAAAGAACACGATTTATGAAGAAAAACACTTATAATTATTAAATATTAAATGCATTCGCTGTACATACGAGTATATCTCATTAAATTCCAAGCATTTGTGGATAGGTATTTTATTTGTTCAAGCCTCAAAGTTAAAATAAGCAATATAATAAAAAGATTAAAGTTTAAAATATAAATTGAGATTTTATAAAATAAAATGTAGGCGGTTAATTGAGATAAAGCATCATTACGTATCACTGTGCTGTATTTGATTAAGAATACATTTATCAAAAACAAATGGTTCACCAATTAAGTCTCTGGTATTTTAATGCAAAGCAACCTAATTGAAACTTGATTTGATTTCAAAAATCGCACCTATCCGCATATCATGTAGGTGATTTCGAAAGTCAGTGTCGCCCATGAGCAGCACTAGTTTACAGTTATACATACATATGTATAAGGCATGCATGCGTACGAGTATTTACAATCATATATTATATTTTCGCTTTTTTTCTCTCACGCTCTTTTTTGCAGATCGGAAAAGCAACATTTGAAAATACCACGTGATATACAAGATGCTAAAATGTTGGCTAAAGTTTTGGATCGCTATAAGGACATGTATTACTTTGAAGTAATGTTTGGCGTCGTCGTTGCCTATGTATTGTATCCTTTTTAAACAAACAAAAAAAACTAGGCAGCAACAACGACCACGTGGGCGCATGCCCAATAAGATTATGGAAGAAGCTCTCGCGCACGCACACGCACACGCAGACGGACTAGCTCGACCTTGACCCCATTCAGAAATGCTTGCTGGGCAACTCAGCAGCGCACCTAAAAAGTCAGTTTAGGCCAAAAACAGCGTCATGCGGCGGCCGCATGTTCACGGTCAACACACAAACACACACGTACAGACATACTTATAGACGTATGCAAATTTGTATTTGTTGATTTTATTATGTGTGGCGGCCACGCATAGTTTGCATTTGAACGTGATCGTCGTCGCTCTTGTAAGAAACGAGCAACCACAACAACAAAGCAGGAAGAACACACAAAAATGTAGAAGAGCAGCCACACAGCTTGGGGGTATTCCTGATAGCTATTTAATTTTTTTTGATTTGGCTTAGAGTGAATCAAACTCAAACAGAAGACGTAGCGATCACTTGCGCTTTATGTGTAGCTTAAATTATTTATGTATGTACATATGTATGTACATATATTTTTAAATATAATACAAGAAATTGCCAAAAAGTTCTTCGTAATCGCAACTCTTGCACTTATATATTAAAGGCAAAGAATGCGATAAATGGCCTTCTAGGAAACTAAAAACTAAAACAGAAATCATTGAAAATCAAACAGAAATTAGGAATACCACTGAAGCTTGATAACTGCACATCGCACTGTTGCCATCTCAGCATTAATATCAATGGAACAACGCATTCTCAGACAGACTGACGCATTTTATATTGCGCTCCTGCTCACACGTGTGGCGCTTACGCGCTACTGTTGTCCATTTTGATTTGGCTAGTTTTGTTGACAAATACATATGACGCATTTATTATTGCGTATTGTTTATTATTTGTATTTTGTTCACACGAATCCGATTTTAAATATTTATGTATGTACATATGTATGTCGAACAGCATATAAACAATAGCTGTTACATACATACATACATATATAAACACACACACGCAGGCATACATGCATACATACATACGCCATTTCGCTTATTAATACGTAGAGTGCGATCAGCTGTTTTTGCATTTTTCGCACATGTGCGCACTAATTGGCAATAAGTTGTACATATGTATGTATGTATGTATCAATTGGCATGTATTTATAGATAAATGTATGCACATTTTTTTTTTGTCCCCCTGCACGTACATACATACATATGTACATATGTAAGTAGCAAGTATTCTTGAATACATACATACATAAATTGACGAACATACATACAGACATGTTTGCAGCTATTTTGTTTAAATTCTTTCAATGTTATTTTTTGTTGTTGCTTTTTTCTGTTATCGTACATTTGCACAGTTCGTGTATGTGTGTGTGTGTGTGTTTGTGTGTGTTTGTGTCTGTAGGGGGGCACGTGTCTGTGTGGGATGCGCGAGCCAAGTGTCAACCCAATTGGTTGGTTACTTGGCTATAAATAACATCGAGCAACATACAGATACGGGATCTGGTCTTCAGCGAACTACATACATACAAACATCCATCTGATCTGCTCATACATACATTATATATGGTCCAGATTTGCTGAAGATTTGTTACCCAAATCGTATTACCCACTCACTGTACTGGGTATAACAAGTTCAGAGTGGAACGATAAATCCAATTACATATGTACATACATCTGTACATGATATGTACATATATGTATGTCGCTGATTCCTTATTTTAATGCACACCTCGTTCTTCAAGGAATCACAAAACAACCATATTTTATAAAGCTGACATAGAAATGTTCCTTTGAAAAATATCTTCATTGGTTCAATATTTGTATTCCTTAGAGATCTTCATCCGTTTCGTTTTTCATAAATGTTGAACAATATTTTCTCTTTCTTTAAAAATGTATGAAAACTGAAACAAATAGTTTTTTGAAACTTACATAAGAGCGACAAATCCATCCGATCCAACTGATCCATATGATAATGTTTCTCATTAGACAAGCAATCTTATGTTAATTCTTGGTTATAATTACACACATATATATATATATATATATATATATAATTTAAATTGTAGCTCCATAGATATGAACATCCAATGTTGTGTGCGAGAGAGACTTCCAATTATTATAATCATTCTACTTTTCTTTATCTGATCAATTTTGAACTGCTCGAATTGGGTTTTGCCTTAACTCTGATGATATCTTACAGCCTACAAACATTCGCCATTCCTGGTTCGCTATTCCTATCGATCTTACTTGGATTCCTGTACAAATTTCCCATCGCATTGTTTTTGATTTGTTTCTGTTCGGCGCTGGGCGCCACACTCTGCTACACCCTTTCGAATCTTGTAGGACGACGGCTGATTCGTCACTTCTGGCCGAAGAAGACGAGCGAGTGGTCCAAACATGTGGAGGAGTATCGCGACAGTCTCTTTAACTATATGCTGTTCCTGCGCATGACACCGATATTGCCGAATTGGTTCATCAATCTCGCATCCCCGGTAATTGGAGTGCCTCTCCATATTTTTGCTCTCGGCACTTTCTGCGGCGTCGCTCCACCTTCGGTTATTGCCATACAGGCGGGCAAGACTCTCCAGAAGATGACCAGCTCGAGTGAGGCCTTCTCCTGGACCTCCATGGGCGTCCTTTCAGTCTGCGCTTGCGCCTCCTTGTTACCGGGCTTGCTGAAGAACAAGTTTAAAAAGAAGAAGAAGCAGGCGTAAGCCGAATATGGAGTAACAGCGGGAGAGGGAAAGAGAGAGCGAGAGAGAGAGGGAGGCGAAGTTTACCAAAAAACAAAAACAAAGGAAAAGAAAGAAGAAACGCTCGTAGTTCCAGGGTTGTTGAGATCGAGAATTCGACTGATCCAATGGACTGCTGTTGGCTTGGGTTGTTTTAAATTAAACAAATATACATACATATACCTATATTTATATTATATACATACATATATATATATATACATATACGAGCGTATACATACATGTGTGTATTTCATTATTAATTTTTTAGGTTCGCTTTTAGTTGTAATAGTTGTGTATGAAAAAGTATGTATAACGATATGCTATTTCCAAATTACAAAACAAATATATATGTGAAGAAGCCGTTGACTGTGTTTAAAGGATCGACATCATTAGTTCTATTTATACACGATCAAGTTTTATATAATAATAATCATAATAATATTAAAAGATGAATTTGTTGCAATAACTACAGAAACATATTGAAAGAGGAAACCATAAACTAATAATTATAAGATAACCTACAATTTTTTGTAAACTTTTGCATGATATTTTTCCAATACTTTTATTGCTTTTAAGTTAGTGAATTTTTTGTTTAGTGCTATTGCAGTATTTACTAGAAGTGTTCGATGTAAGTAAACAAATTTAGCAAAACCAATTGCGTATGTGTGTGCAAGTAAATTTATTGATGAAACATTAAACACTCGACTTTTAATTCTCGGGAATAAGATTATTGGGATTATTATTTATTTATTTTTTATCCCTTTATACACTCCACTTGGAAGCATAACACAGGTATCCTCCATTCGTTTCGGAACCTTCCTCTTCTACTTCCCTGCGGATTCCATTCCTATACAGCTATATATATATAGCGGTTTATATCGCGGATTCTGCGCAAGAAATTCCGAATCGAATCCATCTAGCGACATTACCAATTGAAAAATATTGTCGTACTGAGCAACGTGTTGCTAATTTGACCGCTAGATAGCGTACATGAAACCTGTTAAGAAAAGCCATCTAGCAATGATTGGGAAAATTTGCCGCTAGGTGGGAATAGTTGTTTTCATTCTTGGGCGCTAGGTGGAGATAAGAAATTTACGTACTGCTTACTCGTATATTCGCTAGATTCCAGATGGCAGTTAATCAGGATAGTCAGAATTCGAAGACGTAACTGCCATATAATTGTATTATATAAATATATACATACTCTCGTTCGCTATTGACAGGAGTTTAAAGTATTTAGATATAAATTTTCTGTCAAAGAACTTCAAGAATAAGACGCTAATAAAAATAATAAGAAGGGCGATTGAATGAAATTTTAATAATAATAAATATTAGTGGAAAATTATAGAATTCTTCTAAAAGCTTTACTATCGATTCGATATGTCTATAAAAAGGTGTTTGTCTGAGTCAAAATTTGGTTTTTGTTGGTTTATAGAAGTTTTTGGAAAATTTAGTCTCCAAATGGGTGTAAAAGAGCTTGAATATGATTTTACTTTTTATGTTAAATGGTTAAAAAAACGCAAAACAAGCAATTTTTACATATTTTTTTCTGGAACTGCAAATAACGATTATTCACTTATAAGTATTGGCTTTGAGAATACGAGGAGTTGTAATTGTTCCTGCCTTTTTCATAGGAAATAAGGACACAATTTATATATATTTTTAAACAATAAGCCAAGCCGAATACTTAAAGTACAGTTTTTGAGCTAAAAAACATGATTAAAAAATATTTTTGACAAAATTACAACTTGCGTTTTAAATTTGAAAAGTAATGATTATTGTTGAAGTTGTAAAGTGTAACTCAAAATTAATCTTTATATTTTAAGAGAATTAATAAAATGAAAAAAATTCATTATTTTGTAAATTATTATAAGTGTTACTTATAAAGATTACTGTTCCTGATTTTTTTATCCCGCATAAGCTTTATGTTTGTCTGCCTATCTGAGCTAAAATTTTGATTTATGATTCATTAAGCATAATAATGAGGTTTTGGTAAATTCAACCTCCAAATTATTTTAGATGAGGGCTATCTATATATATTACTAATAGAGCGAGTCAAAAGTAAACTAGAGAGCCTCAATGCAATTTTAAAATTTAAAGAGCTGAATTTTTGGGTGTGCATCCATCTCCATCTACCACTACTCCTCTCTAGGAGTAAGAAAAACATCTTCTACTTAATGAACTATCAGTGTTGAGAGAGTTTCGCGAGCTCGTGTGTCGCAAAAACATTTATTATGTTACTAAGTCGAGCTAGAGAACTTATGTGTCTTAGAATTACCAGCCAGGTTTAATAGTTAAATTAAAAATGTACTCGCACTCATAAATCTCGGTGGTTTAAAGATGAGAAACGATTTTCGTGCCCTTGACTATGTTGACAGTGAACGGTGTAAGTATGTCCCTTCTGCTCTGATTTCTGGCATCTTCAACGGCAAAGTTTTGAGCTGCTCCTTGCCGCCCATAACCGCGAATTGATGTCCTTGCTATCTAGATACTTTGCGGCTTGTGTTCTAAGTGTGTGTTTGTGTGTGCATGTAGGTGTGTGTGTGATCTCGTATATACAAACATATTTATAATTCAAATAATTGCTGTCGCCGGCTCGCTATTTTGCGGACTATTTTGTTGTTGTTGGACAACCCTTTTGTACTCAGCGTTATTGTTTTAATTACTTATAGTTGTTCTTGCTGTTGCTGTTGTTGTTGTTGTTGTTGTTGTTGCTTTTGCTGCTGCTGTTGATGTTTTCGCGCGGTTTTCGCCGCCATTTGATTTGTGTACTTAATTAGTGGCGTAAACTTTGTAAACGGATTAATGGTCTTTACGCTCCTTTGTCGGCTCTGGTATCAAAAGATTTTTAATTCAATTTTCCATGGCTAGGCAAATTGTTTCAAACTGTCTGCAACAATTCGATATGACGTTGTTTCCTTTTTTTTGGCACCACATGGTATCTACGAGTATGTGATCAGCATGATAAGACGAATCGATGTGAAAATGTCTCTCCGTTTGCCCGTCTGTATGAACGCCGATAGCTTTGGATTTATAAAAGCTAGACCTTTATTATTATTTTGCAGACAAAGTTGGTCAAAAGCCATATTAGTTTATATAGCTGCCATAGGGGTGATCGAGAAAACTTTATATGTTTACCACGATATTGTGTACAACCTTGGTATTTCAAAGTTTTCAACAATATTTTACTATAAACTGAAGTTGCACAGAAATTGAGGATTTCTAGCCTATCCCTACCAAAGGAACGATCGATAATGTCTCACTATATTCCGAAGTTTAATTGAAATGCAATAGTTTCTTAAAGTTGTAGTGTTTTAGAAGAGGGAATGTTTACAGGGCATACAAGAGTTGGAGAATAAATGTAAAATAAATGGCAGTATTTACGATTCAAAAGAGTACAGATTAGTGTCAACTAATTAATTAACATGCATATGATCGAAGCAACTGGCTTGGATTGTGGTTTAAATTTATAGCCAACGGGTACTCCCCATCTCCGTCAAATGTGGCCCACATCTGGCTTAGAAGCATTACCATTACCAACGACCTTTATAGCCACAGGTGTTACCCACATTTTGTAACGTGTGTGCGTGCCAATCGGATTGTCGCTGCTATTAGTCTTATCTTTATCTATATGGCACAACCATTGGCCTAGTAATTGATTTGGAATGCTAAACAAAAAAAAAGCAATATGTTTTACTTTTCGTTGACTACTTGTGTGTGGCTTTTTACGTTTTTACTGCCATCATTATTTCGAATGGAAAGCGGGAAAGAAATGGGCGGTAACAAGAAAGATGAAGCAAATAGTGATACAATTATATTGAATTGATAGAGTAAATTATATATAGTAGTATGTGCAATGTTTAAGCCAAGAAAAAGCAATTAAATCTTCCTATTTTGTTTACAAATCTTGCAAGTCAGTCAACAAATAAAAAAATTTACAAGAAGCTATATTACAAAATTTGATTAATCATTTAAAAATGTGTTAGTTTTTCAAGCTATCTTTCCACTTGATTTTATTTGTTTTTTTTAGAAAGCTAATGCCTGTTTTGAAGCACTTCTGGCTTTACAGTATTTATAATATAGTGTCTGCTACGCAATCATCTTATTATGCCATATTAAACCAAGTAGTTCTCAAAGTTCAGATACGGATAGATATAGAATCGACAAATTTTTGGCATGCCGCCAGCGGAATTGCTTCCCATGCCACAAGTTTTCGATCAGATGTGGCCAGCTTTAAAGATCTACTTTGCTTTCTGAAAAGCATGGGTTCTCAGTCACTCCCTGAAGGATATTAGGGATCGAAATCTTGGTTAAAAGATTATTTCCAAACCATAATAGAGCGCCCTTTGTGAGGTTATGTTCGGGTTGCATTTCGTCTCATCCGACCACAGGAGCATTTCCTTGGCGAGAACCATTCTCTTTCGATAGACTCGGCACTTTTCTGGGTCTCTTTGCTTCTAGATTGTTATTATTTAATGTTTTTGCAATATTAAAATAAATAAATAATCAAAAAAAAAAAAAGACTTCCAACTCTGTTGCTAATTTTCTTTTCAGCTCATCATTTTTGTGGTAAAATCAAATTCGGGAATACACACATGGTGTTTTTTTTGGCAGCTAGTTTAGAGAATAGTTAGGGGCTAGGGGGCTTTTCTAGCTGCCTAATTGTGTGTGTGTGTCCTAATTGTTTAAACTTATTTATGCACTTCATTAGTCGGAGCGGAGGCGCCCAGCGTGCGCTTAAAAGCTTAACTATGCAGACGCGTCCCTTCAGGCTGTTTGGCTTATGGAAGCGGAGTGGGGGGAATGATATTTATTGTATATACATACATATATTAACACCATTCTGTTGATTATTATTTTTTATTATTATTATTATCTGTCTGGTCGTTCGTAATCTGTTCGCAGTGTGGCTGGACATTTGTGATTAAACGGATTTGTAGCTTATGAACAGTCTAATTATCCTGAAAAAGTAACTAAATATATGCATATATATATATATATATATATATATATATATATATATATATATATATATATATATATATATATATATATATATATATATATATATATATATATATATATGGTTTACAAGTATATATAAGTACGTATGTGTATTTTTTGCGATGCGACCTTCGAAGTATGCGTCGCACCAGCAAACCAAATCTTGGTTTGCTTGCTTTTCGCTGCCTCGACAATTCTGCGTGGCTGGCCGGATGCCACTTGAGGCTGCAGGGGCTGCCTTTTACTGCCCGTGTCAGCATGTCTGGCAATTATGCAAATCAATCACCCTTCTCCAACCTCCCAGGCCCTCAGTCGAAGGGCGAGCTAAGGCGATGCATGCCAACAAATTGATAATGG